TTTTAACAAATATGAAGTTTGGCTTTAAAACATAGTGATATTGATCAAGAGCTTGAAATGTATTAGCAACTTTATTAACCAAATCATTAGTTGATGTTGTATTTGACTAATTAATTGAATATTTTTCAATCCTTCAAAATTTTCAATTAAGTCTAAAATTTTTCTAAGTCCAGAATTTTTTTAGAAAAATTTGGCAGCCTTCCGGTGTCCCCTCCGCAATGCCGGGAGGTAAGGGAGTGGCTCGACTCGGCCGGAGCGAATCAACGGCGAGGAGATTGAGTCTTCAAAAACTTTGATGATCGTTGTTTGCAAATTGAATGGTTGCCAATGCTTGGATAGAGATCGCAGTTGATTGCCGATGCTTGATTGGATATCGTAATTGATTATTGATTGAGACAATTGCTTGTTGCCGGTTGATTGTATCAATTAATTAAATAAAATTTAATTAAAATTAAATTTTAATTTAATAATTAATTAATTAATTATTTCCAAATTAATTAAATTCATATTCTTCCAATCTTTAAAAATTTGGCTAAGTCTTGAATTTCTGAGTAAATTTCGGCAGCTTCCCGGCGTCCCCTCCCCGATGTCGGGAGGTAAAGAAGTGCTCGACTCGGCCGGATCACATCGACGGCGAGGAGATTTGGGAGAGCGAATCGATCCCATAAAAGAGTATTCGAAAGGTTCTTGTAGTGGTTGTTGATTGCCGGAGATTTGTGGCACATTAGACTAAGTCCTAAAAGTTTGAGAAAAATCCGGCAGCCTCCCGGCATCCCCTCCCCGATGCCGGGAGGTAAGAGAGTGCTCGACTCGACCGGATCAAATCGACGGCGAGGAGATTTGGGAGAGCGAATCGATTTTTTATTAGGTCGTCGCAAGGGCCTCGTCGGTTTCCCTCCCTAATACGCCACGTGAGCGCGTAGGGGGTTTGCTGGCTCGTCGCAAGCCACGAAAGAAAGATTTAAGTTAAAAATTTATACCTTTGCGAATTGCGACAATGGCGGGAAAAGATGCACAAAATAATCTTCTTCTATTTTTTTTGTATTTTCTCTTTTTTTTCTTTTTTTTTAACATAAGCACTCATACATACACATATATACATATCTATATACATATATATGTCCATACATATATGCATCAATATACATATACATGTGACACATACATATGCATATACATTTATATCTTTAATATTGGTAGCAATAACTCACATAAATAATGACATTAACTAATAATACAAATAGCATTAAGCACTAAGTGAGCCTAACTAAGCAGAATAAGGGAATTCAAACAAAAGAAACTTGTTGTTCTTGGATTTTAGTTGGTTTTTTTGGTAAAATTTGGGCTGTTTTGAGATAGGGATTGGGATGAACGACATGAAGCAGGTTTAAGTGGCTTATTTGGGATTAAATGTGAGTGAGATAGGCCTCTTCTTTTTTTTTGGATTAGTGGGCTGGTTACAGATTTTGTTGTTTAAGTCTAAAGATTAGGTGTGTGTTGGGCTCTGTTGGGCCTTTGATTCTTAATGGGCTGTAGGACAATGGGATTTAGGCTTTGAGTGAAGTGGGCTGCTGATTAATGGTGGGTCCCCCTTTTTTTTCTGACTTGATATTGAAATCATCAGAAGGAGAAGATGGTCTTCCATCTCCACAAGACTTGTTTCTGCGAAAGCTGGAGAGTATGGAGCTTTGCGAGTTCAGGAAGCTCTGCAGAGAAGCGATGGGAAATGGAGATAATGGTATGACTTTGGTTCTTTTGTTTTCTGGGGAGGATTCATCTGCAACCTGAAGCAGAATCGTGGGTTTGCCTTGGTGTGAGGTGCGATCACAGCTCTCCTAGTCTAGACGCATGAGACGGGTGGAGGGAATTGGAGATAGGGGACGGGTACAGAGCTTGAAGAAGCTTTGCCCTCTGGAGTAGGATCGGGTGGAATACAGGGCTTGCGAATGGCTTCAGCTTGGGCAGGTGTCCTCGAGTGCAGGCGATGTGTATGAGGAAATTGACGGACAGAGGAGGAAATAGAGAGGAGGTGCGGTAGTTGTGTTGAAGGTGTATGTTACCGTATGGGAGGAGGGAAGATTTTTTTTTTTTACCTGAGCTCAGTGGTTTCGGCTTCTTCAGCAAGAACCGAAGAGGGAGACGGGACAAGCTTAGGTGGAAGGCTGAGGTTATGAGAAGGGAAGGAGACTTATGCGGCCATGCTTACTAGAAGGTAGAAAGAAGACGGACAGGAGGCTTTTTTGTGCATCTGCTTCGGGGTCGAGAGAGATAAAATTTTGTATCTGCTTCATTTCATTTTTTAACGACAAAACATTGCTAAGGCCAGCTGTTGTCTGAACATCGGATTGACGGAAACTACAGGAATTCGACCGAACGAGGTAATCGGCATTTAATGGGCATTTGAACTTTCTTTGTTTTGACACCTACTCCTTGTTAAACTTTTACAAATTAATAGCCATACTATGATACTAAAAACATCTCTCCTTAGACTATTGGTTGAGAGCTTAGGCTTCCAACTAAGAGGTCTAAGATTCGAGTCTATGTGTATGCGTTGTGTATGAATTTGCCTTAAATGACCTAAATGTCCCAAAAAAAAAAGCCATACTAATGATGGCGAATTATTGCGTCCGGTCACCGGATGTCCAGACATCCAATCCGGTGACACCACGTCACCCAAATACACTGGGTCCCGGATTGGTGTCCGGACGAATTCGGACACCGGATGCAATAATTTGCCTACTAATGATATATCATTCCAGCATTAATTTAAAATGACATGAGTGCACTAATAAGTCAAAAATCATCTTGATTTGTGTGTTGCTTTCTCGTTTTGCTCGTCGGCTACCTCGTTTTACGTGTCGATTTTGTCGAACGTCGAAATTAGACAAATTGATAGTGCATTTAAGGTATTTCCAACTTTCCTGTCGCAATGACGCAGTCCGTTTTGAGATCGGACGTCGTCTGGGCGACGCTGAGGGTAATTTTTACATAAGGCCGCCTCGATTTGCGTGCGCAACCTCAATAGAACAATTTGATAGTGCATTTAGGGTATTTTCGGTGTTCTGAACACAACGACGCAATTCGTTTTACGATCGGACATGGGATTGCCTCGATTTGAGCAATGTCGAGGGTAATTTTTACATGGGACCGCCTCGATTTGTGTGCACAACCTCAATTAAACAAATTGGTAATGCATTTAGGGTGATTTCGGAGCTCCAAACACAATGACGCTGTCTGTTCTTCAATCCGACGTCCTTTGATCAGCCTCTCATTTTAATTTCGGGTGTCAGTCATTCCTTTTGACCCATCTCATCCGGTTCGACTGTGAGGGGCCTCGACCTAACAGAATTCAACATCCTGATTGCAATGATGCCGTCTGTTTGGAAATCAGAGGTCGTTTGACCCTTCAAGTGACGCGTGACGCCAAGTCTCATATCGCTTTATTCACCAATTTGGGTCATTTCTCGCATGGTTTTAGATGTAGGGGTCAACATGGTGCATGTAAGAGGTGGGCAGGGAGTTGATTTTGAGTACAAAACAAACAAGCATAGCCTTTGAGGATCAAGTCTATGTAATAGTGTCCCATCCTATGTGCCAATTTGAGGGGCTGCTTGGCTGCAAGTAGGATTTAAGTCGAGTAGAATTTAGGCTTTGTTTGGGATAGTTGTTCTTACTGTTTTTTATAGTAGCTTTTTAGTACAAAAATTTCTAGAAAGCTGTGAAAAGTCAGTGGTCAAAACCTATCTCAAAAGAAATCTTATTGAATTTAAATTTATTGAATTTTGCGGCTGTTAAATTTGAAAAGTAGTTTGACTTGATAGATATTTAATTTGATTAAATTTTGATTAATTGTTTGAATGTTTATCTAAGGATTTAATTCTATTAATCTAAATAATTTTTTAATAATATTATGATTTATTACGTTATCCTGTTCGATCTTGATTCAACCGGTCGAACCGTGAACCTCTCATTCTTCCGGTTCGTTGTCCGGTCCAGTTTTTAAAACCTTATTTAGTAATACTTCACTAGTAAAATAATAATAATTAGCAAATGTAAGGAAAACTGATTGGAGCGAAAATGGAGGGGATGGAGGCGATATTCTTCTATGCCATTGCCTATCTATTTCTATAACTTCTCCTCTTGGATCTTTGTCTATACTCTTCCTAGAGTCGTTGGCCCATCTAGGGTTCGCTCCTCGTTGCCATTTCTTCGTTGCTACTTCGTCTTCGCATGAGCTGATTTTTGACAGAGATGCTCAACTGCTCAAGGGACTTTCTTCGCCTCCTTCGACGACGACATTTTTCCTGTCGGATCGGAAGACGGGAGCTCTCCGCGAAGGTAACGATCTTTTCTCCGTTTCACGCGTTTCTTCAGCCGCATCCCTTAAATCCGCCAAACTACATAATTTATTTAATCTGGGATTTAAGGAAAAGTGGAGAGACACAACAACAACAACATCAAACCTTTGTCCCACGTAGTGGGGAAAATAATGGAGAGACAATGGGATTTAAATTCATTTTTACTTTGCATTTTTTTTTTCATCCAACCAAATACCAATATTTTCGAAACCCTACATTTAGAGTGCTTTATACCTATTTTACTTCCAAGCAAATAGCCCTATATATCTAACCTGTTAAGCTATTTGCCTCTTTTTATGTCATTTAAATAGCACAGAATAATTTATAAATCATTTAGAACTTGCATAATAAAATAGTTTACTGTTCAATCAATTAGGCTTATTGTGTTTAACTGAATTAATTAAGCTTAATCTTAGTGTAATTATGCTTTTAGGCTTAATTATAAAGATTAATTAAGCTTGATTTTCAAAGTAAGGTTTATTTTACTGATATATCTAGTTAACGAAGGCTCATTAGGGTCAAGTTTGCTATTTATTACCCAATTAGACCTTTGTCTTAATTGAACAAATATGATTGATCCGAATTCTTAAGGTAAGCAGACACTGAGTAATAATAGTTTGACAAAGATATTTAACTTCTCAGGTTAACAGTGTGAAGGCTTCTGGAACTGCCCGTCCTGCTGCTGGATCAAAAGTGCAATCTACTGGTAGTGCTATACAAGTTTCTAAACTGACTTACAGGTTTTGATCTATCTTCTGCTAATATTTCTAATTAACGATGAACTCACTCCCTTTGCATAACTGTCATTTTTTTCAACTATTAGTTTAATCTATGGGAAACTTGACCTGTTGCTGTTCAATTTTAAGGTCTCTTCTCGCTGGCATTATCCAACCAGAGTATATAAGAAATCTTTGTAGTGCTTTGGTGGTACAATCAGGACAGGCCAAAACATTTGATGGTATGGATCAACAGAGACTTATTCATTCACACATTTAAATGTTTATATTTAGTAATGGTATGTAGTTGGGCTTGTTTACTGCTTAGTTGTGATAATGGAACATGCATGTCTTTGATAATTTGAGGTTATCAGTTCTTGATTGTGTTGATGATGTCTTGCATATCTTGTTTAATATTTGGCATCTTATTCAAAGGATAGCTTATCTTCTCTAATACAAAGGATAGTTTATCTGGGTCTGTGATGTGTGAAATTCTGTGCACATCTTTTTGTTTGAAGAAATAGAATTTTGAGTACCATTGAGATCTCTTAGCATGCTAGAGTAAGATGCCTACTCAGCTTAGTAGTTCAACCACAATCAACAAACACTTAAGCCTATTTGTGTTAATCTTTAGAATAATCATTCTTCAAAGGAATTGTAAGAGCAGAAAAAAAGAATGGTATTTGAAACCCCTACTTCAATGAAGGATATCATACTATAGTATGGATTCTCTCTCTATTTTATTGTGGGCTTAAAAAATTCTTGAATGACATTGTTCTATTTTCAAGTGGCTCTAGATTAAATTTTTAGAAGGTAGATTGTATATATGATAAAATAATACCATAGAGATTTCTTCCTCAAATGAGTTTGCAATCTAGTTTGAGGTTGCCTATAATCGCATGTCTTTATGATTAATTACCTCTCGATTGTAAAACACTTTTGATTAAGGTTAGGCGGTAGGCTTAAGATGCTTTATTTTAGTTATAACAATTTAGATTGTTGTCCAGCATCATGTTGACTCAAGCTCATCACATGGAAGAGCAAGCATGAGTGAACCCTTCAGCTTTCTTGGTGCTTGCGCCCCTTTTAATTTTCTTAGGAATTTTGGTGTGGTTGCTATTTTACAAGCGAAAGATGGGGGTTGCATGCGGTGCAGGCGCTCACAGTAGATGCGGGATCGGCGACGGATTTGAGCATAATTAGATTCCTTATTTGAAATAATAGAATTTGGCAATTTCTTTAAACTTTGCTATAAATTTGACCACAACCATTACGGGATAGATTCCTTCATTTAAGCCTCAAAAGTAATGACATTATGTAAGAGCAATTAGTCTTGTTATTTAGAATATAAGATTTTTGACAACTTAAAATATTGTTGAAAGTCATTCTAAGCCTTAGAATTATTTGTCATTCCTTTATTTTGAAATCTTATTTTAAAATTTATTTTTTAAAGTACTTTCAGAATTTAATGGGGTTGTAATTGGTATTTATGTAAAATAATGGAAAAAAGACGGTCTTGAAGTGAATTCTAATTTGAATTATCTTCTTCTCTCTCTTGGTAGCCATGAATAAATAAAAAATTTTGAGTATTTTGTGCGATTATCAATCTTCCCTATAACCAATGTTTGAAATTGTGCAATTGGGTATTGAGACATTTTTCTTTCATGAAGCGAGGCGTTAACCTCAAGGCGTAATCCTCAAAATCCAAAAATTGCGTAAAATGAAAATAAATGTTAAAAGTGATTTTTATATAATACCTAAATAATATGTTAAAGAATGATATATTAACTTTCTATTGAACTATGAGGTAACACATTGACATACATATGAAATAAAAAATTACACAGGACATAAAGTGATAAGTGATGAATTACATGAAATAAAATTGAAATTCAAATATTATCAGAGTAAAACAATATGAAATGTATGAATTTCATAAAAGTATCCTATAACCTCAAGTTCAACTCTAAATTCCTTTTTCTTAGTTTTCTACTCATCCACATTTAATTTCTGAAAAAAGCTAACATAATTGAAAACAACTCAGAAATCATCTGCATTGTCATCACTGAAGGAGTCTTTACTTCAGTTGTCATCATAACAAATTGGTTTCTCCCCTACGTCATCTTGTGGAGTTCAATGCATCTCAATCTAATTCTTTTTTATTTATTTTAATCATCTTTCTCTTTCATAAATATTTGTCATCAACATAAAAATGAGAATAATGCTCCAAAATTTTTTAGAGGAGGAGAAGGTGGTGGTGGTGTGCGGCTTTCAAGTGATTCCCAGTAGTAGCTACGATGGTAGTGGCTGCTGCAAAGGCGGTGGGATGGAGGTTGAGGCGGTTGAGAGGAATTTGTTGTAGCTTGGGGGTGCATGAAGGCGTGATTTATTTGGGACTTAAGTTTAGAATTTAGTTAAGTTTTAATAAAAAAATATATACAAATTGAGTGAGGTGTACACCTCACGCCAGTAATGTGAGGCGTGCCTCAAGGCGGGCCTCAACCAAGCTGAGGCGTAAGCCTCATAAAAAAGGCTCAAGGCGTAAGCCTCATGACGTTTTTCACTTGAATTGTATTGAGGCAGGCCTTAAAGCGAGCCTCATATTTTGCAATTTTAGCAATGCCTATAACCTTCCACTATATTAGTGGCTGATGGCTTGAACAATCACATAGAATTATGCATCATAGGTATTGTAGCGAGACTTTGGCCCAATCAACTTTTCACTAAAATAAGCCACATGACGACTATGTTTAGGGGTGTCAATATTTGACACGACCCGAAATCCCGACCCGAGCCCGACCTGAAAATTTCGGATTAGGGTCAACCCGAACCTGAAACGGGTCGGGTTCGGGTTCAGCATTTCGACCCGTTTCAAAAATCGGGTCGGGTTCGGGTTAACCCTTTGACTCGAAAGTGACCCGATTTTGACCCGGCAACCCGAGATTGAGCCGATTTTGACCCGTTTTTGACCCGAAAAGAGGAGATTGACCCGTTTTCGACCCGAAAATTAGCCATTTTCTTGTTGGAAACGGGTCATTCGGGTCGTGTCGGGTTGACCCGGACCCAAAGCGGGTCGGGTTCGGGTCAGGAAAACTGACCCGTTTTTAAAAACGGGTCGGGTTGACCCGAATAGTGCCGGGTCAGTTTCGGGTTCGACCCGAACCTGACCCGTGACCCGAAATTGACACCCATAACTATGTTGGCCGAGGAAAGCCCCCAATCCCCACCTTCGAAGCATCACAATGCAGTTCAAAGGGTCAGTTGAATAAGAGCTATTTTTGGGCTCAAAAAATTTGAGCTTTTTGGCCCTGACCTCTTTGCGTTATATTTAGGGAGAGTTTTAATAGACTAAGTTCCGAGAGAAATATTCAGAAGGCAGATTAGATGGAGATAATACATTGCCGAGAAATTTCACTATCTTAGCGAAGACTTTGAGATCTGAGTTTTGGTTTCCTATAAGCGCAAGCCCATATACTTAATTACCTCGCTCGATAACGAGAGAGATCTTTCGATTAAGCCTAGTTGTTGACCGATATTTAAAATTAAAATTTTATCACATATCACTAAAAGTGGATGGTGGGGAGATGATGATGAACTCGATCAAGATCCCATAGTTCTGTCATCCCGAGTCATCATGATCCCTAGTCTACTTAGTCAAAAGTGGTAGTCGATCTAACCTGATCAAAGGATCCTTGTCGACAACCATGGGTTACTTCGTATAAGGGGGCCTTATAGACTTAGGGTGAATGTTTGCCTAAGGGATGAATTCAAGATAACCTTAGCTAACAAAGGACTTTTTGCTCCATCGATTATACCCTATAATTCATTTCTCAATGGTAAATAGTCATTGGGGAACATACGAGATTTTAGCCATGGCCATAATACGATGGAGTTGTTTGATCATGCTAGTAGGTCAAAGGATCGCAGTCATAATCATTTGCCACGTGAAGCCGTCCTGACCAAGCAACGAATTCTTTGTGGAGCCATCTGGTCAAACTATTGATTAAAGGACCAGTTATAACCATTTACCGTGTAGAGACGACTGGCCAAATTACGAGTTTTGTTGAGCTATTTGGCCAAGCCACTAGTTAGAGAACAAATGACATGTCCTTACTTTCATAATATTATTTGAGAATGAATCTGAGTGATATTCTTGACTAACCATATGCTCTTTGTGAGCTAGAGTTATTCTTGAGTTCATCGCTCTTGTCAAACGATTGCGGAGAGTGCATGAGTTTTGTTTTAAGTTGTAGGTAATTAATTTTAATTTTAAATATGAAAATTTAGATATATATATTAAAATTCATAGTTTTGATGGAATTTGAAAATTAACCCATCTGGTTGAAATTTATATTCAATGCGGCCAGCATCGGGGTAATGTTGTAGTCATTTGAAAAATATTTATATTTATAGAAATTGGAGGCATTTAAAAGGGTAGAGCCCTCTTTGGTTGAGATTAACTTTCAATACGACCATCATCGGGTAGACATTAAATAATTAATTATTTGAACCTTGTCAACTCTGCTCGACCGCTAATAGAGGATCGAGTTCAACAAGCGATGATTATGCGAATGCTAAAACCAAGAGAGCTTGTATTTTATGATGCATTTTATCTAAAGAACCTTAGTTTGCCTAATGTGAACTTTAGATTTAAGCACATGCGGGGAATTTGAAAGAAATTTAATTAACATGCATGCTTTTCAATAAGTCACGTTTAAGTTTAGGGAATTATATTTTAATGCATAGAGTATTTAAAATATTTAAATATATCTTTTGCATATATGATTTTCATTTAAAAGTGTGCAAAATTTCGTTTGAAATTCAACAAATGTCTTTTGTTACGCTTGTACGAGTGTTGCAGATTCGGTGGTTTAAATTAAAGGCGAGTTTGGTTTCAATTATAGTAATATATGAGAGATATTGTTTAGTTCATTTTATTTTCTTCAAATAATCATTTAGCACAGTTCGTAGAGGGTGTTTGTTCAATCAACACTTGGAAAATCTTGTTCGTAGGAGAATTATTCTGCTCGCTACAAGTTCCCCTATTCTTCCTCATAGGTGAGCGGATTTGTTCGATACGAGCTCCTTGTCCTCACTTATAGGCGAGTTATATTTTTTACAACTTCCCTATATGCGTCAATAAGCAAACTATTACATTCATTACACATTCACTGTTATCACATGTAGGAGAATTGTTGTTAACTGCAAGCTCCTTGCCCACGCCCGTAGGTGGGCTGATTTGAACATTACAAGAATTCTATTGTTATCACCTGTAGGCAGATTGCTGTTAACTGCAAGCTCCTCGCCCACGCCCGTAAGTGGGCTAATCTGAACATTACAAGTCTTCTATTGTTAACCATTGGCAAGCAATTGTATGCACTACATGCTCTCTGATCCTGCTCACAAGTGAACTGTAGTGTTCATTACTACTCTGTTGTTGCCCGTTGATGGGCTATAGTGCGCTTTACACATCTCCCGTCTACGCCTATAGTCAAGTTATCACATTCATCATTAGTTCCTTGTCCTCGCTCATAGGAGAATGGTTATCCTCTTTGAGTTACCTTTTTCTACCAGTAGAGGATGTCTCACATTCATTATAAGTTTCCCGCTTTTGCCCGTAGGCAAGCTACTATATTCATTCTGGGTTTATTGCACTTTGCATGCAGGAAATTAAGTATTGTTCATTATAAGTCAAATATCCTCGACCATAGGCAAGCTATGAAATCGTACGACAAACCCCTTGTTCCTCCCCACAAGCAAGGTGTTACATATCCCCTAATATTGTTCATAAACAAACTACCAATTTCATGAAACGCTTGTAGTTGTGTTTATAACAAATAACTTGCTTGTGCCCATAGGTGGGCTATAATGTTCGTTACAGGTTCCCGCTTTAGCTCTAAGATAAGCTATCATGTTACATGGTTCCCTGCCATCTCTTGATTTTTGAAGTTTTATTTAGTTATGATTTTATTTTAAATTTTCATTTAGGTTTGGTTCCTATTAGTTTCAGTCAAGTCCTCTATTCAGTCTCCCAACATCTCCTACTCGCAGGGGGAATTTTAGAGAGCTAGGCTTTCCCACCACACTACGAAAAGCGTGTATGGGTCTTTGAGGTACCTGCATGAAAGCTCGCAAATTTTCCAACAGACATAGAAACACGTACACGAGTATTTAGGAGTGTTCTCACCATGCTACCAAAAGCGCGTACAAGGCCTACCCGCGTCGCTACTAACGTCGCCTTCAAACATCCTCCTTTTGTACTTTGAAAAGCACATGTAGGGGATTGATCGTTACGCCGTAATGTTAACAACAGGATTTAAGAAATTTTTTAAAGTTTAACGAGCTTTATACCTTTAAAAGCGAGAGGCGGCAACAATGACGATGTAGAGGGCACGAGAGGCTAAACACAACCATCTCCCCTCTCTCTCTCTCTCTCTCTCTCTCTCTCTCTCTTCTCTTCTCTTTTTTCTTTTCTTTTCACTTTTTTAACTAATAGCAACAATAATAATAACATAAGGAAAAATAGTGCTGATTTGGGCTTTGAATAGTTAGAGAAGTGAAAGGAGTTGCTGGAATGATTTCAGTTGAGTGTAGGAGGAGAGGGGTGCTGCTGGTTTCACGGTAAGTGCTGGACAGCATGGAGATCGGTCCAATACAGTGGCTGTAAAGGAAATTGTGTGGCTTTTTTTTGCTGGAGGTGTTGACAGGTAGGTAGTGGTTCACGTGAAGAGGAGTGTAGAGAGGGAGCTTGTGGCTGATATGAGCTGCTTGTGAGGCGGAGATTGGGCAAGGGAGAGGGGAGCTGGGAGTTCAGGACTGCAGCTGAGATCTTGAATGGCTGTTGGCGAATGTTGGAGGGCTGGGCTGCAGTGGTTTAAGGTGATATGAAGGTGGAGCGGGTAGGTGCTTTGAACCAGTAGGTTGGGATATCGGGTAGGAGGGCTGGTGGGTAGGATCTTGAAGGAAGCTGGGGTGAGGGAGATGAGGAGGAATCGAACAGAGAGGGAGTGGAAGGAAGGAGCTCTTGTGAGTGAGTCAATGGAGTGGGAATGAGTGGGTTGTGGAGTAGGAGAAATTATTAGGTGCGGACATCGGACGAAGAGAACCGTCTGGATTTCTCTATCTACAGTAAAAACGCAGTCAAATCGCAGCGGTTACAGTAACTACACTTTGACTGCATTTTAACTGTAGACAGAGAGAAATCCGGATGATCCTCTCCGTTCGATATCTGCACCTAATAATTTGCCATGGAGTAGAGGGAATATGAAAAAAAAAGTTTCAATTTTTTTTATTCCACGTGAACGACAAGATGAGGCAGCGGGCTGGCTACACCAGGATTAGGCGGCTTGTGCAGAGTTAATATTTAGATAATATGATTTAGGCAACTAAGATTAGATGTAGGATAATATATAAATATATATATTTTTATACAAATTCAATTAAAGTAAGATTAAAAAAATAGCATAAGTGTGAATTAATTTCTTTGTGTAATTCTTCATTATTTGTGCATCTCGATTTGCATGCTATAATCACCTCGATGCTCGTGTCGATTTTGAGTTTTTGCTCGTGCAAGGACCCATACAATATTTCATCTATTTCTATGTATCATCGATGTTCCGGACGTAACGACGAAGTTCTTTTTGCAAACGGTCGACGTTAGGGTAACGTCGCGCAACATTACATCTGTAGATCGTCGATTTCGATTGCCTTCACTCAATTCATCTGCGAGGGTCCCCGCTAGGTAAATTCAATGTTTTGATCGCATCGGCACAGTCCATTTGATGATCAGAGATCATTTGGGTAGTTTTGTGCTGCGTTTTGCTCCCCAATAGTTGTGATTGGCGTCATTTTTTGATCGAGTTACAAGTGACTCTTCTTTGCTAAATTCGACATCCCATGCGTATCGGTGCAATCCATTTTATAATCAGATGATGTTTGAGTAGCTTTGATAGCGATCGAGGTGTCTCGATGCTCGTTACTAGTGACATGTCCACTAGTTGCCTCCCATGGTGCGCTCGATTGGATTTGACACGTATATTGAGGTCAACAAATGTGGTATGCGTCTAGATCAAACTATGCTTGTTGTAAACTAGGTAATCCTGCAATTCTCTAAATATATGTTCTTTTGAGTATGACTTGCGTTTCAATCTAACGAATTCTTTTCATGACATCCTTAAATTTTAGTGCATAATTAGAATTAAGTTGCATGCAGGTCGTAAGCTTTCTTTATGCATTTCATTTTAATATCTTTCTTCTAACTAAGTTGCATGCAGGTCGTAAGCTTTCTTTATGCATTTCATTTTAATATCTTTCTTCTAACGCATAATTCTCCACATTATCTTATTCTTTGACAACACGATGTTCACCTAACGAAGGCCATAAGGCATATCATGCAATTAGGACTGCAAACGAACCAAACGTTTGACTAGCTGCTCGTGTCTCGGCTCGATAAGGGCTCGTTCATGTTCGTTTGATAAGGTAAACAAACAAGTTTGAACACACTTGATAAGTACTTGATAGCTAAATGAACGAGCTTGAACATCACGTTGTTCGGTTCATTTATGTTCACGAACAGTCTCGCTTAGAAGCTCGTGAACAAGCTCGCTTAGAAGTTCGATTACAGCTCGACTAAGAAGCTCGATTAGAGCTCAATTAGAGTTTTAAAAATAAATACTATTTAGTCTACTAATTTAACATTTTTAAATCTTTCCTCTCCATTAATTGTTTTATTTTATTAAATTTTTTATTGTCCCGCCTCTGGCCTACTCTCTCTCTTTCTCTCTCTCTCTCCTCCGTGGCGTCACCAAAGTTAAAAAAAAATTTGTAGGCACTTTAGTACCACATCGCCTGGAGAAGGATGATTATGCTCTATAAAAATAAATTTATCTAGTGCCCTGTTGAAAAGCGAGCAGCCGGTTGGATGCTGGGTGTGTTAACTCGGCATGAGACTCTATGGAGCTGCTTTGTTTGCCTAACGACCCGCTGGACAAACGGGCTCGATTTCAAACACGAGCCAAGTTTAAATACTTTTTTGTTTAATGTGTTGTAGCTCGAACAAGTGTCTGAGAAGCTCGACGAGCTTCTAGCCGAGTTTGAACTCGATTCTGATAAGCAAGCCCAAACTCGAACAGGTTAAAGCTCGGCTCGGCTCTATTCGTTTGCAGCCCTACATGCAATGAGCCCATTGAAGAGGCAATTTGGGCCATGATAGATAGTTGCGACCCTCACGAAGCTGTTGACATGGATGACAGGCTTGAGCAACATGAAGAAATGTTGAGTGGTTGCAGTACTTGCGGTGATTTCTATATGCGATCATTCACTGCTTATCCCAAAGTCGCAGCACTTAGGGAATAATAGTGTATTTTGGGATCTCTTCAAAACACTGCTTCTCCCAAAATTGTCGGCATGGAACCCTTTTTAGTTCAACAACCTACGTTAGATCCAGTGCTATCCAAGCAATTCCTACTTCAGGAACTTCTATAGGACAACAATCACAAAGAACCAAATATAAGGGAACCAAAAAGAGGAAATCTTGGAACTGAGGAATTGCAGGGGAGGCTAAACAACAACGATAGAAATCTGTTAGACCGGTCCAAGGAGGACCGGTCCAGCCCCTTGGGCCGGCTTTGATCGTGTACACCAGGAGGGCCGGCGGACACAAGAAGAAGGGAGAGGGGTGGGGTCCACTTGAAGTTTGAATTGTTTCTTGGAGCCAAAAGGAGGGGAAGCAAGGGTAATTAGGTCCTTTTGTTTTAGATTTGAATTGTATGCATTAAGTAGGGGAGAAAAGGGGGGATTAGGGTTATGAGATATTTTGTGAAAGTTTTCTTGTTCTTCTTTGGTGGCTAGGGCTCTAGATTGAATTCTAGAGATTGGGAGAGTGCGATCCTCCTCTCGAATAGAGGATCCTTGTATCTTTGCTATTTTCCTTTCATCTTCTAGCAAAATACAAGTTCTCACTTCGTGTTTCTATCGTTTTTCTCGTGTTTTCCCACTGTTTTGGCTGATTTCCTGCTGTGGACAGCAGTTTGCTGTGAGATCTTTGGCTAAATTGATTAGGAAATACTTGGAATCAAGTATTTCCTATCAAAATCCCTGAACAAAGGATATCACAAGGAGCCACATCACTACCAAACCGATATTAATAGTATGCCAATACAGAGATTTATAGATGTTGTTGATTGAAAATTTGTGATCCACTTATTTTTCCTTCCATTTGCTTTTTGAATTTGAGGAATTTGTGATCCCCATCACTACCAAATCTTGAAGCGTTTCTGTTCTACAAGGAGGCTATTGTACTTCTCGCCACGCTAAAATGGCTTCCTTGTGGCGTGCAGAACTCTCCCCCTCCCAAGCAATACTGTGCTTCAATGCTTCAACATGGTGCTGTTGCATCAAACAAATTCTTAGGCTTCGTTTGGGATGGCTTTCTTATTGCTTCTTAAAACAACTTCCTAGTATAAAAATTTAAATTTTTGTACTAGGAAGTTATTTTAAGAAGAAATAAAAAAGCCGTCCCAAACAATACCTTAGTGTATATAATGTACGTTGACTGAGTGTATGAAGCTTTCTATAATGCAGGATTTGAGGAGAGTTTAAGGTACAATAAAAAAAAAAGAGCTGAACAATGAGTAGTGGCTTTTTAAACAACGGCTATTTGCATGAAGATGTTTTTGTGTGCATCATTTTAACCAGAATTGAAATGTTTTCCATTTTTTTTTTACATATCACAGTAAAGGTTTGGAATATGGGCATGGATACTTGTGAAAACGCTAGTCTCTTCCCAGATTCTGATAAATGACAAGACTTGTTTGTTTTAATTTCTGTGCATACACTCGACTAGCAATGTTGTACTATTTCAGATAGAAGATTACAAGAGGAAAAAGCAGCAGGGAGGGAGGATCAAAATAAAGATAGACATGCTTTAGTTGGAGAAAACAATGATGATAGGCAGAATATGCAAGATGGATCTAATATATCAGCTGAGGCCTGCTCAAATGGAATAGATGTAGACAAGATTATAGAGAATTCTGGATCAAACATCTGTTGCATTCAGAAAGAAGGAAGGCCTATGTCCCCTGGGACATTAGCTCTAATGTGCGATGAGCCAGACTTGAACTTTATCTCTTCACAAAACAGTAGAAAAAGACCCAGGACTACTTGCGAAGAGAACTTCACTGAGATTTATGTTAAACAAGAAAGGATTGCTTTAATGAAACTTCGTGACTCTCTCTATGAACTTGCTAACTGTGCGAGAATGAAAGGTAAAGACTATAATCTTTTCTTGGGCTTCTGTCATTAGCATTCTGTTGATTGGTTATACTAATTATCTTGATCATTTGTAATAGAAATCATTAAAAAAACTTTAATGATATTATAATGGTCTTAAATAAGAATTTGACTCTTAGTAGGATATAATGAAGATAAAAAATTCATATAGCTGACCCCAATGTTGTTGTTGTTGTTGATGATATTATAATGGTCGCCATTCAATTTAATGGCTTTTTTACTGTAGTTTAAATTCTATGATGATCTAGAAGTAATATGATCTTTGTGCTATTATGCCTCCGAACATTTTGCATTTTAACCATCCTCTTGATTTTTGATGATTTCTCACTTGCTTCTGCAGAAGAGAATATTTTGATGGCCATGAGATGTAAAAATTCAATCAATCAGATACCAGCACTTAACAAAGCAAAATCCTCTGAAGAACCAGACAATGACAGAGCCAAATCTATCAACCTAGAGTCTGTAGCTGATAAATCAAATCTCAATAAAAAAGAATTGATCATAGAGAAAAGAAAACCTATCAGCCAGAAGTTGGCATCAATAAAGAAATTTTGCTCTGATGACATCTGCCGTGAACAGTTGTGGGTCAATTCAGAAAGAGATCCAAGTCAACTAGAACTCGCCAAATCAGGAGCCAGTTTTTGACAAAGTGATACTAGGCAGATAGCGGTTACTTGAGGAGAAGAAAGAAGGTGATGCTCGATCACCTAAAAGGAGTTAGTAAAAAATGGTGCTTCTGGTTCTCAAAACTATGACTTGGACAACATGAGTTCTTGCCAGCATTGAAGAAATCTAAGTCAACTAGAACTCGCCAAATCAGGAGCTAGTTTTTGACAAAGTGAGACCACACAGACGGAAAATTATTAAGTGCGGACACCGGACGTAGAGATACGTCAGGACATCTACTTAAAATTTGACACCTGGAGTGCACTTTGGTTGCGCTTTTTTGTGCATTTTACCTACGCTTTGACTGCTCTTTTATTGCGTTTTTTTAGTGCATTTGACTGCACTTTACTTGCACTTTACCTGCGCTTGACTTAAAGATCTGCGGACACATTAAATATATAAAGTAAAAAATAAATTCAATTGAATATCCACGTGTCCACTTAATGTGTCAACATTTTATTGGAGTCAAAACGTATCTCTACGTCCGGTGTCCGCACCTAATAATTTTTCCAGGCAGACAACAGTTACTTGAGGGGAAAGAATGGCCGTGTGCTTATAAGCCAGAATTTGATGAGACAAACTGGAACATTTATTGAAGGTGATGCTTGATCAGCTAAAAGGAGTTTGCAAAAAATGGGGCTTCTGGTTCTCAGAAGTTAGAACTAAGACTTGGACAACATGAGTTCTTTGCAAGCATTGAAGAAATGAAAAACTAGCCAAGCAGGATCAGTTGGCTGGAACCAACTTCTGATAAAGTGATTTCTCATCAGCAGAATGTTGCTCGAACTCAGTCGTGCAAATTTGAATCCGAGCAGGGAAGCAAAGACTTATCTACAGGAAAATTTACAATTATGGAACTCACTGTTAGACAAGATAGCTTCTTTGTTAAAGCAAAGCTGTCTTCGAATCACTATTTACCTCATAAAAGGATATGCAGATAATCGCTCAATGAAACCACAGCACTGTCACTGACTTCAGGTGTTAGGCTGGCCCAGGAGGGGACAGCTGAACCGGTTCTATGCTACAGCAGGCGGCCCAAATCAGGTGGGGGGCGGATGCTCTAGTGGGCCCAATTGCTTAATTTAATCACTGTTTAGGATGGAAACTTTGTATTAAAGGCTGTTTAGTCATTAGTCTTGTTTGTTAGGGTTTGCTTTTCGTCTTGAATTTGGAAGAGATTTGATATCTAGGGTTTGTTCTTTTTGGACTCTAGGCTTTGTTAGAGATTTTGAGAGTTATTTTTTCCTCTGGAATCGAAGAAACTTATATCTTGTATTACTTTTCTTTTTCGTGGATTGAATATAAGAAGTTTTCATCGCGTTTTCTCTCCAATCTTCTGAAATCCATGCATCATTTTGTTGATTTCTCTCTGAAATCAGCCTATTTCTCGCTGTTTTCACCAAATCTTGATAGGTTTGCTTGCAAACTCAAGTATTTCTATCATCCAGTCAATCTCTGTAGAAATTCTGCACTATTGAGGTTATTTGATTGCTTATTACAACCTTTCTTTTAATCAAGATTCTTCACTCTCGGCTATATGGCTTCCATTGTAGTGGCATAGTTTTGCTTTTACCAGAATCAACTTGCTAAAATCTTGGTGAAATGATTTTATAACTGTAGAAATGAGTGCTTATATCCTTCATTCCTGTTCATTCCTGGAGAAATGAAGTTCTCTGATTTTTTTTTACATGATTTTTTTTTCTTACATTATTGTTTTGCAAAGGCTATGTATTAGAGAAAGGGAGTGTTGACCTGTATGAAATAAAAAAAAAAAAAAGTACATGCCCGCACGTCGTCGCCATTTCGTTCGCACGCCTACGTCCCATCTCCCACGATCTACTCGCAACATCAAAAGGGCAAAAGGAGGGGTTCGGCTGCGAGGATCCTCGCAGAAGCTTCCTCACGATCCCTCTCTCTCTCTCGCGACTCTTTCTCGACGATCACTCTCCTGCTCTCGCTCTCTTCTTCCTGTGAGATCGAAAGTTACGACAGTTTGATCGGAACCAGCAATGGAGCTCGCTCCAGCTCCTCGTGGTCGCTCGGCTTCGCTCCTTCGACTCGTCACCTCTCTGTCAAATCGGAAATTACGACATTTTGTGCGGAAGCAACTCGGGAGCTCGCCGATTGTAAAGATAACTTTCTATCTTCCGCCGCTTCTTCGGCTCTTACCTGGCTGTTCGACTTTGCTCCTTCGACTGACATCCCCTTCCCGCCGAATCGAAAGTCAGACATTTTGATCGGAAGCCAGAACTTGAGCTCGCGGGCTGTGGGGATAACTTTCTCATCCCATTCGCTGCTTCTTCGGCCTCCTTCCTAGCTGTTCAACTTCGCACCTCCACGACTTTCCCTTCCCTGTCGGATCGGAAGTTTGATCGGAAGCAACAAGAGCTCGTTGGCTGTGAAGGTAACATTTTCCCTGTCGAGCTCTTTGTCGGCCAAATCCCGTGAACTTGCCAAAGTCAGAGAGAGAGGGAGGAGAGGGAGAGATTAGCTTTTTAATTAAAATTAATTTTAATTAATTGTAATTATATTTATCCTAATTAATTTTAGTTATTATAATTAATTATAATTAATTTTAATTAAATGATTATAATTAATATTAATTAATTATAATTACGTTAATTAAAATTAATATTAATTAATTATATTATAACTTATTTATTATTAATTGTGATTAATTAATATTAATTAATTAAGGTTAATTAATATTAATTAGTTTTAATTAATTGAAATTAAATATAATTAATTATCTTAATTAATTATAATAATTATAATTAATTACTTTAATTAATTATAGATAATTTTAAATAAACATAATTATTTAAGGATAATTATAATTACTAATTAACTAAGGC